CACACACACACACACACACACACACAGAGAGAGAGCGACGGACAGTCGGACAGTGTCTGTGTGTTCCATCTTCTAGCAGCACAAATGAGGTCATTCAGGATGAGTTTTATCAGCAGCCTGGAGAGCCAATAAATCAGGAGCATGTTGTCTTTGCACCATGCATGTGTGTGTGTGTGTGTGTGTGTGTGTGTGTCTGTGTGTGTCTGTGTGTGTGTGTAACACAGAAACTAACGTGCAGAAAAAGAACCTAGCGACTGTCTCTTCTTGCTGTTTAACAGTCTGGGAATCTGTTCGGCTGACCTTTCCCGTGTTACGCTGTTGGGGAGCTGCTCTGAAGGTGACATCTATCCACACACACACACACACACACACACACACACACACACACACACACACACACACACACAGCCTCGGACTTCTTTCTTAGTGAGGACAATCATTAATAAGTGTCCTTACTCTAACATTAACCAACACAAGTAAATGCCTATCCCCAACCCTGACCTATATATAAATAGTTTACATTGAAAGCTAAAAGCAAAGTCTATCAGTGACAGGCAGTTATCACACACACACACACACACACACATCTGGCCTCCCCATTACAAATTGGAACTGAGCCTAATCCTGCTCTCAGCTGGGTTTACGGTGTGGTTGGAACGTGCACTATCACCACACAGTCTTTTTTTCCGCTCTGAACCTCTGACCCTCGAGTTATTTAGATCATCTCTCAATATGGATCCATCCTAAATACCACCTAAGCATAAAATAAGTGACGGACTCCACTTAAGCAAAAGTTGGACGACTACTTTTAAATTATAGTGTACAACATGTGGAGAGATCCTGTTTGAAAAGGAGAGGACCATCTTTCAACCTCGTCCTTTTCTGGACATCAGTCTTCCTGCTGACAAGGCTGCTCTGATGATTGCAATAGATGTCGGATTAACTGGAGTTTCCATACAAGTCTTGGAAAAAATCTTTATGTCAGGGCTTAATAATTCACACACACGTAGATGAGAAGAAGAAGAAGAAGAAGAAGTCTTTTTGATCTGACGTATAGTTTCACAGGAGACAGACCTGATTCGGTGATATTGAGCTGGAAAAGCTGGCAGCAATGGAAATCTTCAAACATCTCAAAGAAACATCCAAAACTAACCCGCTGCCGCCAGAGACGGAATTTATTTTTTGCTTATTCCTGCTAATTTGATTGAAAACACAACCTCCTTGGCAGAGGTAATAAAACCCACAATCAGATGAACACACTCTAGGTCCACCAGCTGCCTCTGCCTCCTCTCTCTGGACTCATTCTGACGTTTGGTGTCAAGACGTGATCTTTATTTGCATCGACTTGATCTGATTGGCTGATGAATGCACAAAACAACTCCTGATCAAGATTCTTTCCAGATTCATCACCAAAAGAGATTTGTTATATATTCAAACATGGCAGTAGCAGCTTTAAACATCCAACATAAAAATCTGATATCATTTGAGTGTTTGAGTCCACTCAACACTTTTAGGAGTTTCAGGGGTAAACAGTGTTGCAGCAGAATCCTAATCTGTAATGTTTTCTCAAAGCAGATGACTGTAACCCTCTGTTAAAACTTTAATCTCAAGTGACAAAGCTCTTTTCCACAGAACACATGAGCTGTTTTCACAGGTTCAGTCGCACAGATGAACAGAACATGAACTGTCATGTGATAGCAGCCTGAATCAGTGAATATATAAATACATATATACAGTAAATATGCAAATATGATTAATTTCCACTTGACACTTGACTTCAGAAAGATCTGAAGTGTGAGAGTGTGAGAGCTGCACGGAGCCAGTTGGTGTAAGAGGCAGATCACAGTTCAGTTTTCAAATGTTCATGACTAATATAACGTGACACTGTGTTGACATCAGCAAACAACACTTTACAAAGCAGAGTGTGGTTACCATGGCTCCTCTTCATCATCTGTCTTATTACTTTTCCCCACAGTGAACTATCTCACACAGTCTGAAGCCCAGAGTGACCATGACAGTGTTTACACTATCTGTGTGTGTGTGTGTGTGTGTGTGTGCGTGTGTGTGTGTGTGTGTGCGTGCATGTGTCTGTGTCATCCACACTTCTATCTCTGGAGACCACTCGCAGTTTTACCTTCCCCCCGTTTAGTTTCCATGTGAACACAAACAGAAGGAGAAATAGAAGTAGAGTATTCTCAGTCTCAGTCTCAATAAGTCGCTCGATAAGTCACCAATTCTTAGCTGAATTACACTTAATGGCTTTGTGTGTCTGACAGCGCTAAACAAACACAAACACACAAGCGATCTGTTTTGGGCAACAGTTTCCCAGAGACACAATCAAGAAATGTCCCTGTGAACTGATGAGGTTATTTTCTCTGAACATGAGCTCCATGCTTGTTGCATAGCTAAGCAATGACACGACCTCCTTTTACGATCTGACCTAAACGTTAGTTTGCTGCACCGTATAAATCACATTTCACTCTCGCTTATGTAACTGTGATGTTTCAACATGAAAGCCCAGAGCGTCCATAGCTGCTGGCTGGTAGGAGCATGTCTTAAGCCGGGCCAGAAACTGCACGCATGAGCTCATGGCTGCTGCATAGAGTCAGTCCAGGTCTGTCAGCGAGAGCGGTGATGGAAATTAGCTGCTTTGCTTTTCCAAACACCCTTCGTGCGGGAAATCAGTCAAGTGTTATTCCTGATTTGTCACAACAGCTCAGGAGAGGAGAGTCAGACGGCTGGACCGTCGTTAGAGCTGTTTATTATTCAGAGATCACAGGAGCGCTGTGCCCCCAACTCTGAGCTGAAGTCAGGAGAGAGAACACGGGAATGAACCACGAGGAAAGAATGAAAAGGACGTTTCTGTGGTTGAGAGGAACGAGGCAAAGAGAGATGAGGGTGAAGAGACGAGAGTCGAAGCCACAGAATGACAGACACACACACACACACA